TGTGTGTGTGATATTATCGCCGGGCTTCTAAGAGTTACCTATTACGCGTAAATGTACGACTTTATGTAATGTATCTTCGGATTCCTATTCTTCCTGCTATTTACCATAGAGAGCCTTCTTCGGGATACGCAACACAGCAGGCTTTGTGGTAGTCGTGTTGGTGTTGCTATTGATCGCACTGCTCGCAAAACCCGACACCCACCCGAAAGATACTCCGGATGACTCTATGCGATATGTATTGGACATACTGCAGGCCAATGCCGGCGAGCGAGGGGTTTACTTGTGTGTGGGTGTGCTGACTATGGTTGGCCTCTTTATCTGGTGCACATACGTGGTATGTACCCTGTTATTTGCACTTTTGAGCATTAGTGTTAGACACTCGTATTTGTTCGTGTACAGTTTATATAGTTTTTTTTCATGTATCATGCCTGATGAATGAGATTTCTATCTATCTCTGGGTGTGCTGACTGTGTCTGACCTCATTATGTGGTGCATATGTCATATTTATCGTGTTCTTTGCTCGCTCTCATATACACATCAACTATATACACTCTTTAATTTGCACCAAATTGTAAAACTGTACTCAATTCAGGTTCCGTACCTGAACTATTCCGGTACTCAATCTATCGTCTCCACCTGATCTATTTTTGCATTTAGGCCTTGGGTTTAGTCTACCACTTGCCGTCCTGATGAAACGGCCAGTAGCACACAACAGTGCGAACACTTTCAAATTATTTGCTGCCACTAACACTTACTTGTCTCAATAGTCGTACCCGATTCGAATTCTGCTCTAAACTCCTTCTGACATTGCTTTATCCCAACATATAATTGGTACCTGATCGCTTTTTACAAGGCTTGTTTATTTGCATCCGATTCCAATTCTGCCTCCAAACTTTCACAGTTAGTTTTCTCCACCAAGTATTAATTGTGGTTCGATCTCCGTTTTTGCATCTAGGCCTGGGGTCTAGTCTTCCTCCCGCTCGCCCTGCTAATGAAACCGCCAGTAGCACACACTGGTGCGAACGGCTCCGAGTCACACGAACGGGATAGCCAACGTTTGTTAGATGGATTATCAGACGATGATATGGATGCCGATGAGTATGACATGGACGATGAAGAGGTGCTGGTAAATGTAGATGCAGGTGTGCCAATACGTAATAGTAGGGATGGAGGTAGGGGATCTAGCACGAATGCGAACTTGACAGCTGATGGTGGCGTTGTAACAAGGATTTCAAATCCGGAAAAGGTAAGTGATGATGGGCATACATATACTGTCGTCGTGATGTAGATGTGACTGCGCCAATAAATTATTATATAGTTGGGATATATATATAAATATATATATATATATATATATATATATATATATATATATACTATATATATAATATATATATATATATATATATATATATATATATATATATATATATATATATATATATATATATATATATATATATATATATATATATATATATATATATATATATATATATATATATAT